TTCCCGAGATGCCGATGGCTCCCTTCAGACTGAGACCTGGTGTTTGCTCTGAACTGGAAAGGTTTTAGTAGAATTTCCGCGCTGGATGGAGAAAAGTGAATCAGGTCACCTCATTTGACAAGTGGGGATTGGGAGCCCAGGGAGTTGGTTTCCCAGAATCTGTCCTTGAGTCCCTGAACTCAACCAGCCTGAAGTGCTGCTTGCTCCCCTGGCCCCTGGCCCAGCTCGGTCAGCCTCCCCTCCTGCAGTTTCCTCAGGGCTGTCCCTAGGTGCTGTCCCCCTCCCAGACCAACTAAATGAGGGTCAAGGGCGCCAGATTGCTGTAGGGCCTCCCTGGGGGCGTAGGGGTTACACCTCAGCACTGTGAAGCTCTGCAACCCCCGCAGCACAAATTGGATCCATCAAGGAGGGCCCCACAGGGCACCGCAGACCACAGCCCTCTCCTGTCTCCCGGCTGCTCCCCTCAGCAGTGTGTTTCAGTAGATCTGCCTTCTCTGTTCCCCACTCTGTCTCTGGTGACTCTCACCCCTCTCCTACCTCTGGCCTGTACCCCAGCTCTTGTGCACATAAATAAAATAAATCTTTAATAAATAAATAAGCTGCTTTAAATGCTCCTCATAGCATTTTTCTTAACACTGTTAAAGTGACTCTGTTGTGTGGTTAATTCTCCCTGGGTTTAGGGATAGAAATAGAGAATGTGAATGTGACTCAGCACTCAGGGATTTGTCTTATGACAGGGATGGCTTGCCAAAGCCGAAAGAAAAATCCAACTTTTTTCACGCTTGCTAAGTGAGAAATATTTTATAGACATTTATGGACACTGACATTTTCCCTATTTAGGCCTATCCACTTGCTGCCTTCAGTTCTCCTAGGTCTTGCTTCACAGAACACTGTCTGCCTGTCTCCAAAATAGTCTAGATTCCTTCCTGCTCTATATATAGCAAATCTGTTCTTTTCTGGAAGATTTATTTAAACAAAATAAAGTAAAGCCGCCATGTTCTTTTGTGAGAGTAAGAACTCATTGATTATGTGCCATTCTCTCAACTCCTGGGGCTAAGGATCCCTCCCTTTAAATATAGCTAAAAATTTTAAGGCACTTTTCTCTGCCTACATCCGGGTGTTTTTAACTTCAGAATGACTGCTCTCAGCTGTTCTCTCCACTGATAACATCACTATCTGATTATCCCCCTCCTCCTCATTCTCAAAGCTAGTCTGCATTTGGGTCTCATGACACAAATACTAGAGGACAAATCCATTTAACCTGGTTGTCTCATGCACCCCACTCTTCACCCTAAAAAAAAACCCAGACTAATAATAGGAGCCTTTGGTTCTGGTTTCTGGCCATCACTCCGACAAACAGCCTGTGTCCTTGGGCATGAACCCAACTACCTTCTCAAGTAGCAATTTTCTTATATGTAAAATGAGGGGATTAGATGAAAGAAGAGGTGGGACCCTATCAAATACAGTAAACAAAGAGATAGAAGAGGATGTGGAAGGTTAGGCCACCTGGAGGTGGGGCATGGTGAAGGGCTAACAGGGCAAAATCAGGCATCCAGACCTCTGTCAGCAAGGCCCTGCAGAATCCTCCAGATTCCTGTCAAGCCAGAATCCTCCAGTAAATGCAGACACCACTCCACCTCTCCCCTTTTTAGCAAGACCAGCCAGGCTTTCATCAGGAGAGAAGCTTCTAAGGGTTTGGTGTCCAGAGGCCTGTCTGAGTGAGTCTTCAGCCACACCTGGATTCCTCCCTGGCCTCTTTTGATTGTTATCTAATCCTAAATTATAGAAGGCTCTTCTGGAAATGCAGGTCAGAACTAAAAGGCACAGAGTCCAAAACAGGTTTCTTGTTTTCTAAAATACTCTAGGATTGCCGCTCCCAGCCCTCTCCAGCCACCCACCTTCCCAGACCTGATCTCTGAAACCATGACTAAAGTAGTGACTTGCACTAATCTCTCCCGTCTCTGTCTCTCTCACCAGTTCCTGTGTCAGGAAATACCCCAAAATGACACAGTGATATAGCCCAGACTCCAGAAGAAAAGCAATGTTTTTTCTGGGGATTTTGAACAGCTAGTAATCTCAACTCAACCGTGAGACCCACCAGACACACCCTTTACCTCGGAGGGTTAAGGCCAATTCCAACAAAAGCAAGTGACAGGAACTGGAAGTGGCCTGTGCTGTCAGGCAGCTGTAATGGGGGCTCTGACACCACTGGGCAGAAGACTAAGGGAACACGCCCCTCTTTCCAGGAGAAGCAACCATCTTCTAAACATCATCCTCTTAAGAGAAAGGGGTCCTGGTGGAGAAGGATTCCCTTTCCCTGCAGGGAGAATGTCCTCAGAGAGCAGCTCCCCCCCCCCCCCAGCCCAGGAGCTGGCTGCTCCTAGTTCCCTTGCTTAGTTGGCCAGCACGTTCAGCAGCCTGTTGGTGGGTCTTTCCAGAAGCCCTGGCTGTGGAAGCCCAGGAGTCACCCCTAGGCTGTGGGAGTGTTACAGGGCACCCCAATGTGAATTGGGTTGCCTGTTTGTGGGTCCTCACCACCCCCTCCACACCCCCCTGCCCCCCCCCCCCCCACCTGACTCTGCAGAGGAGCTGCTTGAGCCGTCTTCCCTTCAGAGCTTTGGGAGGCTCCTCCTGGTCCCCCTGCACTTTTGTGCCTTCCTTCCTCAGACAATCACCCTCATTCCGGCCTCTCCTTGGGGACCTCCTGGCTCCTCAGTCCAGACTTCCCACTGAACTCCTCTCCCCAGCAGAGAACAGTCTGCCCTGCTTTCCTCCGCACCTCCCAGTCCCGGGCGTGTCTGCAGGACCGCAAGCCCGTGGACAGCCTGATTTTCTGTGACACTGACTGAGTGCGGTGCTGTGTGCTTTCCATGCCCCTTCAGGCCCCTCTGTGAGGGAGACACTGCAGTTGCCTTAGACAGATGAGGAAACTGAGGCCCAGGGATGAGTCTCTTGGTATCACTAGGGTCAGGCACACAACAGAAGCTCCATATGTGTAGATGATGTCGTCTTGTGAGTTCGGGGTCCTCGGGTTCACTCTGGGAAAGGCT